TTCTTTTACCTCATGAATGAAAATGTTTTGAAAACGCTACCACAAAGCATCTAGATGCTATGCTATTTTAGGGAAACATTGGTAGTTCTCTGACTGACATTCCTGCAGTCAGTGTATAAAGCTCCGACAAAAAGTTTACAGAGCCAATTCATTGAGGTACGAAGGTTGTTAGAGGTACGACAATTTAAATACTTTTTTGTCGTTGACATGCTCCATTGTCTGGCAGCTAAATCAAACCACTTAGTATGCTTGACTTACTCTTTTGATCGTTTCGGCCACCACAGTGACCTTTTTTAAGCACAATGACAAAGACAACATTTTGTTTCTGTCTTTCACGATACAGCTCATTAAATTTTTCTTCTCTTTGCTATTTATAATGTGTTGGGATAGCAGTCGGTACAGTCTTGTGTCATCTCGAAATTGTCCAGAGCTGTGCTTAGTAGGGGTAATTAGCCAATTCCAAATCTCCACCCAGTGTTAGGAAGACAATGGTCTACTCACCCCTAATATACGTATACGAGGCTGATTCAATTGAAACCCATCTTTGGCCTTGGAAACAATTTTAATCACTTAACTGATGTTTTGGAATGTTAGTTGTATTTATAAGCGTCACACTGATCAGTTCCTGTCATTTGTATTTGACTGAGATTTTAAGTATTGTGACCTAAAAATGATATTTGTTCTTACCAATCCGTCCAAATATAATCAGCGTGCGGTCATTTAATTTATGTGTGATGAAGGTTTGCAAATTCATACGCGAATGGTTTGCAAATTCATACGCGAATGCAAGCACTGTATGGAAACGCATGTTTTGCGTATCCAACTGCCAAGGAATGGTGTCGAAAAATTGTTGAGTTGAAGAGAGGAGACGAATGATAAGCCGCGATCAGGTGCATTGAGTACTGCATTAACAGACTGGTATGTTTCATGTGTGGAAGGCATGCTCAGAAAAAATCGTCCAATTTCATTCAGAGCAATTTCAGAAAACGTTGGTGTGGGTATAGGATCTGTCCATAGTATCGTACACAAATTGGGTTACAGCAAGGTTTGTGCGCAATTGGTTCCTCGCTTTTTGTCAGAGGACCAAAAAAGCTTGCGAATGGGCTTATCTTTGCAACATCCCGGAATACAAGCAAAACAGTAATGACTTTTTTTCATCAAAAATCTCTGGCGACGAGTCTTGGTGTCATTATTTTGAACAATCCAGTAAGCTGTCTTCGATGCAATGGAAACACGCAAATACTCCACCACCAAAGAAGTTCAAAGTGCAAACTTCTGCAGGCAAGGTCATGTTAGCATTTTTTTTCGACCATGAAGAACCCTTCCTCACAGAGCTTGAAGAACCTAGAGTCCATCGCAACGCAAATCTGCATAATGAAACTCTGAACAATCTCCATCAAGCAATGAGACGAAAACGTCCAGGGGAGCTCTCACGTGGTGTCATTCTTCTGCACGACAATGCTCGGCCTCGTGTTGTCAGAGTAGTGAAAGAAAATCTACAACTAAAGAAATGGAGGATATTAGAGCATTTATCGCCCGGCGATTTTTACATCTTTGGGGCACTGAAAAACGCGTTAAAAGGTAAGCATTTTCAGTCGGATGAAGAAGTACAAAATGCCGTACAAGAATTCTTCAAGCAGCAGCCACAAGAATTCTTTAAGCAGGGTATATACATCGATTAATGAAACAATGGGATATGTGCTTTAATTGTAGTGATAATTATTTGTAGATATATTTGCCAATAAATCTTTTCTGGACCACAGATGGGTTTCAATTGAACAAGCCTCATAATAATGCTAATGGACTCCTTTCGGTCGATTGAAATTATGCGGTTTACTATGGATATTTGTTCTGGTGCATACATATACTTTGACAAGTAGGTTAACATGACACTGTATACATTTAAAAGCTCAATTTGTTTTTACTGAGCCATTCCAAACAAAAAATAAACCAGTGGGACGTGCAGGAAGTGCAATCGTTGGAATTTCCACTGATTTCACGACACCGCCGACGCGCTTCGATATGAGTATAATTTGACGGGATTTCAGAACCCTGACATGGCAGGTTTATTAAATTTTTGACCGTATGCCGATGCAATAAATGGCTGGACCGTTCATTTTTTGTTTACATTTTACCTTGCGTGTATTTTGAACCTTGTTTATACGCTACGCCTTACCAATAGCATTATACGATACGTACAACCAAATATGGATTATTGGATTTATAGAACATTTTATCGACCTGGGCGTCAAAGGAATGGATACTTGCATTATGAAACATCCAAAATAATGAGAGACATGAGCATTTCAAGAAAAAAGTGATCTCACTAATGTTCCCATTAACTATTTAAGAAGAATACTATGTTCCGTAATTATACAGGAAAGGAAATCTTTTATGCTTACCTTCTACAAACATCCAGAAGAAGGTAGTGATGTGAAAGTAATGCAGAAGGGTTACGATGAGCACGCATATTACTGAGTTGTTCCCCCCGTAGTTTAGCTGAAACAAAGAAAAATAGCTCAGGTGGGATATAAAATTGTGGAACGGGCTAGTTCCTCAACGGTATGGTGAATCTCAAACAGGTAAGCGTCAAGGGATGTGATAAACACAGTATTTTGCACCATTACCTTACTCTGTAAATTCAAAAATTGCAATCTGTCAGCAGCTAAAGATTTGTACTAAGATGCTGGATCCTACGCTGTATTTGGACGTTCACTCACAGTTTCTATTGTGACGGCAATGATGCCAAGCAGCATCGCAGAAGTTCCATTAGATGTTATAGCGCAGACTCCATTTCCCTTTTAAGAAAATTTGTTTTTCCTAAGCATCACATAAATTTTCCAAAAAACTCTAAACCTTTCCTTGTAATTCTTTCTGAGATATACCGTTCTCAGAATTTTTCAACAATGGAACATATAATATTTGCCCCTTCCTCCCCCTGGAAAAAATTGCTACCATCCACTCTTCAAAAACTTTTGGGGGCTGATACATGTACAAGAAGTTCCCCCTTGCGGATGTCAATCGGCCCCCACTGGAAATCAAACCCATGAATGTAGAACTTAGTACCACTCAACTTAACAGCAATGCTTGCTATCAGATTACGATTTTTATGCAGAAATGGTATTAATGCAGAATGAAATATTTGAACAGAAAGGTGAAGTAGAAAAATAGATAGTTAGCTACTTCAGGGGATACTATCCATTGGGAGAAAATAAATGTGCCTCTAAACTAAAGGTATTTGTGGCTATGAAAGTTATACACAACACACACAGTCTAACGCTATTTTGAGGTCAGAGAGAAATCTCACAAACCAATACTCCAAGAATCCATACAAATCTGTAAACTTACCCTACGTGTTCCTACCTAAAATTAGAAAAAATGAATCATAAGCAAAACAATGTAATTATTGCGCTAATTAAAAAACATAAAATATGGGGACAAAGTTTCCATATCTCAATTAAACTGTTACAATTGATTGACATACTCTGGTGACTTATTTCAATTAATGATAGAGTAGTTTCGGGTAATATGGAATACCATTTTCATTTCTCTCAATAACTGAAAAAATAATACACCTTTTCTTCTGAAAATTTGTTGAAACACTTATACGATGTTACCTAACAATTGCTTACCACCAGATCAACTGAAGCAAACCTCATTTTTGTGTAGAGAAAAATACTTTCCAATTAGTTATTTTTATCTGTGAAACAAAAGAGAAGTATAATATGGAATAGGTATATGGGGTAATATGGAATAGGGTAAATCATACGAAAAATAAGAAAAAACAAGTTTAATTCTTCACGTTAGGTAATTTAACAAATATAAAACAAATTAGATAGACCTTAATTTTATTTGCAAAAATCGCAAATGTAAATATCACCTTCACAACTTGTGCAAGCTTCATGAGCCCATCCGTTACAAATGACACATTTCACCCATACCTCTCTGCTTTTACTCATCGTGAACATCTCTTGACAAAAAATACATTCCGTCGTGTCATCAGCACATTGCTTGGGACTAATATAAGATGACAGGGGGAGATCATCTTCATCAGAGGAGTTTGCGGGAACGGGTTCTGAAGAAGATGTTAATGATGAAGATGATGTTGATGGTGAACGTGCTTTTCGCTTTTTCTTCGCAGATTGTTTAAGAGAACTTGGTCCTGCTTCATTGATTAGTCTCTTAGTAACTTTCTCACGTGAACGATTAATAGATTCCTCTAACTCCTCTTTATTCGGAGTTGAGGTTACTACCCTTGCACGACCAGGTTTTCTTCCTCTCGAGTCTATTTTTTTTTTCAGTTGTGGTATTGGTGCGATATCCTTGGGGAGAATGTTTGGTGAATGACATAGCGCTGGTTCATTATTTTCTGGAAAATCTGCTGTGACAGGATGGGGCACATGATGTCTTTGCTGTTCGGCTAAGAAGTCTTCATCGGAGAAAACATCTCGTCGAAAGGGGTAAATGCCAGTTGTACTGAATCCCTTTATTGACCTCTCCGCAGTCTGGATTTTTGTATAGGCTCTTCCAAATAACTCGCCCATATCAAAATGTGTTACGGCTCTATTATGTGCCCGCATAAATAGCCTTACTTCCTCATTGTAGAAAGTTTTCAGGGCACCCATGACTGTTTTATCCAGAGGCTGCATTTTATGCGATGTATGAGGAGGCAAACATAATATTGTTACAAAATTTTCTCGGGCTTATATGAGTACGTCAATATTTCGAGTATGAGTGTGATGCCCATCTAAAATAAGGAGTACTGGACTGTCTTTGGTGTGGTTTGTCCTTTCCAAAAAATGGTCATTTAGTGAAGAGCTCAGTCTGAATCCATCCCGAGGGGTGAAACGCAAACAAAGTGCCCGGAGGAGCTCCTTTCTTAAGCTGCTCACTTGAATTTTTGCGAGGGAAAATAATCATGGGTGGCACGAACCCTCCGGCTGCATTCATACATAAAACTGCAGTCACTAAGGAGCCTCGCTCGGCCGACGTTAGTACACCTACTTGTCGTTTGCCTCTTTTTGAGACAACTTCGGGACATTTGGATTGTACAATACATAACCCCGTCTCATCAACATTGTAAATCCTGTCACAATGAAAGTTTTTTCTGTCATAAGTTTCTCAAGCAGGTTAAAAAACTCATTGACGTCTTCCTTATTAAAACCGAGAGCTCTAATAAGAGAAGTGCCAGTTGGTTTTCGAATGCTCAAAGAAGCTTTGTGCCTTTTCATAAAACCATACAACCAGTCTTTTCCAGCTGATTCCCGTAAAAATGAAAATGGATGTGGAAGCCTGTTGCGTCGAGCCAGCTGAAAAGCCATTGATCGCAAATCTTTTCTGGTTAATCCATAATACTTTTGATCCATTATCAACAAATACTTCACTAGTTCTGTTTCCAATTCCGGTGGCAAAGCTGTTTTTCGGCCTAATGTAGTACTGCAAACAGTATCAGGAGAACCTTCTTTATTGCACAAGCGATGAAGTGTTGCTCGTGGAACGCTATAACGTTTTGCAACTGACAAATAGCCCAACCTGTTACTTCTAACATCTTCAATTGCTTTGCGCATATCATCAGACTGCCATTGCTTTCTTTTTCTTGCCGACATAGTTTCTGCAAAAAAAAAACTTGTTTCATACGCAAAACGACCCAAGTTTTGCTGATAATTAGGCTTTTTGTCTCTTCACAAATATCGTTAAATCTCAAAACAAAAACATCGGGTAATATGGGATACCTAGAAGCAGTATAATATGGAATATTCCATATTACCCGAAACAGCAACTGAGGAAAAAAATACACGCTGCAAATATGTTTTAAGAAAAAAATATGGTAAAAGCCCTCTAAAACAGTAACTTAACATTTGAATAGACTCACCTGTCAAAGTAAGCAAGATTTGTAAATAAATAACACCTTTATAAAAATTCTAATGACTATCGTGCACAACTTTGTAACCACAAATAATGCTCATTTGCAGTTTATAAACTAGAGAACGGCAACCAGCGAAACCTGTCGACGCTATTGCGTATTTAGGGTGTAAAAGAGGCTGGCTTAGGTATTGAAATACAGATGTCGTTACCTACATAAAAATAAGAAGCTATTCCATATTACCCGTACTATTCCATATTACCCGAAATTACTCTACTATATTAATATATTTATAAGCTCTTTATTGATGCACTTCTCTTGTTGTAGACTTGGCTCAAAAACACCAAGGCAACTGTGTGTTCGAATAAAAACATGGAGTTACTTTAAAACCAGGTTTTGCATAATTTATATTTCCAGCTAATGCACTGTCTATTGAAACTTTAATAATCTAGCGGTTGAACTTATCAACTTTGCTTTAGTCGATGCCAAGATGATCTAAATTTTATGACTTTCAAAGTCACACAAAGTGTTGGAACAACCCCCATACATTTATTATCCTCCGCGATCGTTTACCAAAGTACTAAATACTTGTGCATACATGTTTGTGGAATAGCTCTGGGGAATTTCGGTTTGGATGCCAAAAGTTTGGCTACAACTTATGTTGGAAAAATGAGCTGCAATATGCTGATATTTTATTACAATTCTTTTAATGTGGGACAGAGCACATCTACGAGCGTGGATCTCTATCATATCCCTTTAAACCACTTACAATAAAGCTATATTCAATTTATATATACATATATAGATAGGTGAAAAATTAAAGCTTCTGCCTTTTGTTGGGTACTTCGACAAAATTTAAGCAAAGAGGACTCTTTATACTTTTTTTAATTCTCTCTAGCTTTCAATGGACTTTGCCATCATCATCATCAGGAGAGTAGTATGTGAGAGGATGTTGCTAATTGTTGTTTTCGTATAGGATGAGGGAAACGTCCAGTAACATGGTGAGAGCTGGATACATGGTACAATGGTTAAAATTATATAAAATATGACAAGACAAGTTAAAGACAGATTAAAAATTATTTATTTTATATTAATTATTTATAGTTCAAAAGAACTCTAGACTTATTGGGCAGTGTCACCCCTGCCAAAGGTATGGTCATGCGCAGTCTTACTGCACAGCACCTCCCAAATGTTTAAAATGTGCTTCCGACCACATGACACATTTATGCCCCCTCACAGGACAAGAGGAGCGAAAGTGTGCGAACTGTGGAGGGGAGCATCCCGCTAACAGTCCCACTTGCAAATTCACCCCCAGGCGAAATCTGGAAGTCATAGCGCAAAGACGCAGCAAGTCATACGCGGAAGCAGCCGTCTCAACATCTTCGGCTGCCCCCTCTGTTCAACCCACTTTGAACACGCAGAATGTAGACCTAGCAACTGCGCTTAGGTCCCTTCAACACTCAGGCCACTCAGGCATTGCAGGCAATCTTTCCGCAGTCATTGAATGGCTAAGTACAATAGACAACCTGCATTTATCATCTGTCAGGTATCTTGGAGTCATCATTGACAAGGGATTGACCTGGCAGAAACATACTGATATTTTGAAAACAAAATTCCAAATATTCTTCGGCAGCTTTATCCTCTGTTGTGCAGAAATTCAAAATTAAGTTTGATCAGCAAGATTCGGTTGTATAAAATGGTCAAAGACCCAAAATCACCTACGCATGCGCGGCTTGGTGTTCTCTTGCCAAGTCGCACATGCAGAGACTGCAAGTCCCGCAAAACAGAACCCTACGCACAATTACTAACGCCCCTTGGTACGTGTCAAATGAGACTATTCACAGAGATCTTGATATCCTATATTTAAGGGATTACGTAAAACAACAGGCGCAGTGGCGTTATAATCAAGCGGAATCGCACAGCAACCCTCTGTTGCGTGATTCAGTAGACTATACAGTCGAGCAAGTTCGCAAACATTCCAGGCCGCGCCTCGCACTGTGATCAAAATTAAATTGTAAATTCAGACCAGCTAAAATTATTTCAGTATACAAAACCGATCAAAATTATTTTTTGGAGCTACAAAATAATTCGAGTAGTCAAAGCAATAATGCTTAAGCTATTTCAAATGATTTACTTACTTCGTTTATTTGCTCTATTTCTTCCTTCCTTTCTTTCCTTCTTTCCCTTTTCCCCTTAAACATGTTTGGTATCTGGGTAGCCAGACCTGACAGACTAACAGACCGACGAGACCTTTAACTAAGAGCAAAGGTCCACCGGACCGCTCTGACGAATAATGACGAATAGTAATATATATATATATTCTTCACATAATCCGTAATATCATTGATTAACGTATTTTACTTGAAGATATACAACTCTGATCCGGTTTCGCTGAAAGATCCTAGCGCCATATTAGGGGCAGTAGCAGAACACGAGACATCTCTAGGTAGAGTATCACACGTATCCAGTTGGTGATCAAGCATTTATGTAACATCTCGGTAAAGATTTTGCCCATATGTTGATAACGAATCCTCCACGGCAGATGTCACCTGTTCGTGACTTAAACTTTAGTTTCTACTAATCTAGTTTCCTTTTATTTTGGAAATATTCTAAAATCACTGGATGCTAGGTCTGATGAATACGGCGTTGAATTTACAAACTGAAATGAGAATGTAATTTCGATAAGCGCGAAAACTATATCTATTCATCTCATATATTCGCCGAATAACTTTTCGGTCTGGTTATATTAAAAAACTTCCATGGTTCTGTTTATCTCTCAAGGAGTTTTCAACTTTTCTGATTATTACTTTTCCACCTATAACTTTTAAACGTATTATTCTTCTTTCTCTGTTTCTGATTGGAGAGCCTCCTTAAATTTAGTGTGGCTTAAATTAAAGGAGATCCTGTATATGATAATACAGACGAGGAAAACTTGTTTCCATAAGAAACATTCTGGCGTATCTGGCGTATATGTGAAAACTCATTTCGTGAGCAAACTGGGTAGGCAGATCATGAATCATATGTCACTTTGTCGCTGAGACGCGAAGCTCTAAAACTTCAATTACTACATCAAAGAGTAATTATGCCAGGGCTTCTACTCAGGAGTGGTATTCTTGAACTCGTCGGAACTTACCGATTAACAACCTTCGGTGAGTGCAACCACATACGTCATGCCCTAGCCTAGATGCGATGAGCTCGTGAAAAGTACTGCAATATGTCCTGATGGGTTTAGTTTTCCATATCCACGACTGGGATTAGAATTGCATTACCCTGAATGATCAATAGTTACTTCAGTACATAATATTGTAGCAGATTTATTATGCTATATAGTAAATATATGCCTGAAAATAGACAAACTATTGAGGTTGTGTGGTTTCAACTTCTGGTTTAAAAAGCGGGGAATAACAAAAAGGTACAAAAAGTGAAGCATAACTTAATGGGCTATAAGTACAATGTACTAAAATGGTAGAATTTGAGCACTGGTTTCGTATGTGCAGTCGTTTCAGTTCGGTTTAGAGCAACGGTCGTTGCAGATTTCAGTCGCATAAATAACGAATATGTATCGTATATACATATATGTAGCGCGTACTATTCAAAAGATGAGGTTATATTTCACAACAAACGGTGGGTAGTTCAAGCCCTGATAGATACATATGACTATTACACAATCAAAATCGATTATCTACGACCGGGCATAAATTGTACCTTGTGGATAGGCTTTGTGGGCGTTAAATCTTACTTTCTAACCCACGGATTCCACGGGCAAACATTGCATTATATTCGTTATAAGGGCGTGCTTCAAGTTCCGCTGACACGACCGTTCAATTTTTCTTCATATTTTAAATTTTCAAACGTTTTAACATCACTTTTTTCTTGTTGACCACGCTAGCTTTTTGAGATTATTCCAGGATGTGAAATGGAAAAGTTCTAATAATTAATTATTCAGTAACTTCTTTTAAGTCCGTTTGTGGTGTTTAGAAAGATATGGCCAAGAATTTTAATAATTTTTCATAAAGAACCTCATAAGTCCATTTTGCATGGACTGCATAGACAGGCTGAAGCACGAGTTGTAAGTGAAACGAGTACATTTTGCATAATTTGTCGATTTCACCAAAGATGAGTTCTTCCACTTATACAGTGCTTTTCTTTAATGTCCCCCTCCCCTTTGATTCTTTGAACGAATCAGTTCAAAAAATTAAAGCTTAGAGTAAAATTGACAGATTTAAATTTCAATATGGCCGCTGGGGGTCTTGTCATTTTGAAGCTCCTTTATAACCCTAGAATATAAAGTCAGTATCTTTACCTACTACAAAATGGTGGGTAGGTACATTTAATAATTACTTGAACACAAACCCACTAACATGCAAATCTCTACAAATAATTGTAATTCCCTGCCGTATCCACAGCAACAGCGATAAAAACTTGTTTTGTTATTTTTTGTTGACAGAGAAGAATATCAGTACGAAAACAAACATCATTGTACAGTTAAAATATCCTTATTTAGTTTTCGGCTTTAGTGCTAGATACTGTTTGAACTATATTTAAAATGGTCTCGTCTATTGGAAGAAAAAATCGAAGCGATTTTTATTTATGGTGCGACGCGTAACTTTTACGAGACCGAAATGATTTTTAAGGATCGTTTCCCGAATCGTCCTATCTGTAGAAAATATTTAAGGGAGCTTGCATCTAAATTTACAGCTACTGGTATTGTAAACAACAAAAAGCCCCCAGGTCATCCGACCATTCCGGAAGAAAAGCAAGTTCAAATAATTGGCCAGATCATAGTAAATCCCCAAACAGTCTACTTTCTTCATCGCGAATGTATCGTGTGCAATAGTAGGTATCGTAAATACGAGAAAATTTTTTTTGAGATAAGTGGATCAAATGCTACATTTTATGGCTACTGGTGTGTGAGCAAAGCTATCCTAACTCAAAATTCAATATGCATAATACAACTTGGCAGTTAACATACTACTATCCTTTATTGCAACACTTATATTAAGAGAGCAAGACTGTTACATCACAGATATGATAGTCTT